GCATGTGCAACTTCATAAACAATATCTGCTCCTACAATAATGTCAAATTTTTGTTGGAATTCCGGTTCAACCCCATTAGACAGAATATCTCAGAATTGAACTAGTTGATCATTAAATCGATTAGTTGTTTTAAAATTTTCTAAATCAACTAGTTGAAAAGTTGCCAACTAGTTGATTTTCAACTAAACGATTCGGATCACTAACAGCAATGTAGTTTCCGGAGAGTTAGGTAATTTACCGAACGACCAAAAAGATTTCGGGTAAGATAATAGCTGTAATCGTCATGTACGCATGACCCACAATAGAGTTCAGGAGTTACGTAATCAAATGTTAATCCACTTCTTTTAGTAAAAATATGCATCCAAAAATAGAATATCGATATTTCAGAACGATAAATGCCCGTGTGATCTCTGCATATAAAAAAGTTTTTAGCGTTAGCAGTAATTTGAGATAGCAATATGTCTTCATTGTCTCAGCTAAAGAAACAATGTGAAATTCCAGAAAATATTAATGCTTCAATAAAATCCTGGCTAGTCAGTGTGGGAAAGCTGCTTGACCAGGTTTGTTGATGCTTTATGCAAAACGAGCAGACGCCTTAGTTTAGCTTCCCTTTAAGACCAATCGCAATTTATGAGCTTCGAATGTTTATTTTTAATCCTTTATTCTGTTTTTTTTTTTTTTACTTGTCGCTTAGGCGAAATTAGCTAGCGAAAAGGATGACTTGGAAACAGTGTACATCTCTAATGTTAAAGTCTCTTCGTAAGTTTTTAAAAAAATTATTTACAACTTGACCAACAAGAGAAATCTAATATTCGATTCATGGTCATAAAAAGAATCCTTATAGAAATTATCCCAAATCATAAGGAATATGGAAAAATAAGTGAAAAAGAGAAAAAGGACTACTTGGACCTACGCAATGTACGCATTATATGTATATATTTTATTTTATTTCTAAGCTTATTCACAAAATAGTGCATACTTTGTAGGGAATTGCGGATATTTTAGCAAAGGCCGAAGAAACAGCAAAAAGAATAATAGAAAGAGAAAATGAAAAAAAAAATCAAAAAAATGGGGGCCAGGGAAGTGAAGCTACAGATAGTTATATGCAGATGCCAGAACCACATCCTACCCCAGAATCAACATCAAATATATCCCAGAGTAGTACTAATTCCTTGCAACAATTATCACCGGCTTATATAATGAATAATAATATTAGTGGTATATCATCGACTTCGACTTCATCCGATTCTAATAACTTAAATATTACACATATGCAAAATGGAATTCCCAAAACCAATAATGCTTCGAAGCAAACCATTTATCCGCAAACTCCACCTGTCTCCGCACCATCTTCTGAAACCTCTACACTTAAACAACTTACGAAATCTTTGCCAAATAAAAAAAAATTATCAGATGTTTTACCTGATTCCAACAAAATAGAGGCTAGCGTTTTGCGTGATTTACTTAGCACTACCGAAGATTCATCACGTATATTGGTATTGGACGTTAGATATAGAGATGCATTTGATAGTGGACACATTAAGACAAAGAATGTTATTTGCTTAGATCCCATCATTTTAAAGGATGAGTAAGTTTAAATATTTAAGATTCGTCTGTATTCATTTTCAATTGGATAAATGTAAATCTTTATTGAATTATTGTAATCTCGATAGGATATCATCTATAGACCTTGAGTCCAAACTAGTAGTTGGTCCTGAACTTGAATTTGAAAAAAAGCTTTTCACTGATCGTCATAGTTTTGATTTGATCGTATATCATGATCAAGATTCCAGTTTCATTCCTATAGGGAAGACTTCTGCCATGAGAAATTTAATTCAAGCAATCTGTGAAAATGAATTCAAAAAGCATTTGAAGAGACCTCCTGTATTGTTGAATGGAGGTTTTAATGCATGGGTTAGATTGGTAGGTGAACCTGGCATCGAGTGCAATGTTAATAATAGTATTCGAGCAAATCAACGCGATAGGTATGCTGATCAAAAGTATGTATGGAATGATCAAATATTATTGTGGAAATTTATATGTAGCTAATATGGCTATTTTTATCCATATTCTGTTAGCCCAAGCAATACACCTATCGTTAAACGTAATTATATGGATTTCGTAAGTAAGCTGTTTAATTCAAGGAAAATAATTTATTGTCAACGATTAATTATATAAAATAAACCATTTGTAGTTTTGCCAACCTTATGGTTCGGCCCAATCTATGACGGAATCAAATTATTCATCAAGCCCTACGGGAAACATATCGTCATTATATAGTAATTCACCAAGCGTAATTTCAAACCCGCGAATTACTGCTATAAACCAACAAATAGCACAAACTACAATACTTTCACAAACTCAAACTTCTGTTTCTACTTCGACTACGACACAATCAAGTCATCCCTTAAAACGTCGTAAAACCAGATTTGATCATCCGTACCATGGTTTCAGTGAGATAAAAGATCCGGAGTATGCGCCTCCATTACCACCGAAAAAAAATGAAATTACTTCGGGTCCAACATCATCAACACTGTCCAATACGTCAATATCAAATACATCTGCAAATAGTTCAGAACAAATGGCAATGCATCATAAATCGTCTTTAATAACTGATCATCAAAATCATCATCGTATTCCCCAATCAGAAAGTAGTTTCTCTAAGCTGGGATCCTGCATTGGTATAACAGGATTAAGAAATTTAGGCAATACTTGTTTCATGAATTCTGTTATTCAATGTTTAAGTGGGACTTTGCCATTTGCCAGATACTTTTTAGATGGTAGTTTCAGACGACATATTAATAAATCGAATCCCTTAGGTACTAAAGGTGTTTTAGCTGAAGCATTTGCAAAATTGATACAAGTGATGTGGAGTGAACAATACCATTTTGTTTCACCTGTGACTTTCAAGGAAGCTATCGGACGTTTTGCACCACAGTTCTCAGGGTCTGATCAGCAAGACTCTCAAGAGTTCCTTTCTTATTTACTAGACGGCTTGCATGAAGATTTGAACATAGTCATAAATAAACCAATAATTAAAGAGTTAACGCCTCAAGAAGAGGAGGAAATGGAAAGACTACAACCGCAGATTGCGTCCGAAATAGAGTGGGAAAAATATTTGATGCGTAATTCTTCCGTCGTTGTTAGTTTATTCCAAGGCCAATTTCGTAATAAATTGACATGTTTGACATGTCAAAAAACATCTTCGACATATAATGTTTTTATGTATCTTTCACTGCCTATTCCTACAAATATCAAAGATGGAGAACAGGTTGACTTGAAAATGTGTCTTAACGATTTTACTAAAGAAGAGATTTTAGATGGAAATGATTCCTGGAATTGTCCTGGATGCAAATGCTTAAGAAAAGCAAAAAAGCAGCTTACTATTTCAAGATTACCCGATATCTTATTGATACATCTTAAAAGATTTTCATTTGATGGTCCTTTTAGGGATAAACTTGATACAAATGTATTTTTTCCACTTAAAAATTTGGATTTAACTTCGTATGTGCCCACGCCAATACCAAAACCTACTCAGATTGGTTCCATACCAAAAACGGATATTCCTGGTTCTGGTGGATCACGTTTCAATTTACAACAAACTGGACCTTTCATATATGACCTGTACGCAGTTTCAAACCATTACGGCGGATTAAATGGTGGTCATTATACCGCGTGCGTACGAAATAGAAACGAATGGCATACCTTTGATGATAGTCGTGTATCGATATGTAATGAAAAAAATGTTATGGTATGTCTATGATTGATTTTCAGGCAATTTTAATCTTGCACATGCTAATTGTTATATATTTTTTTTAAAGACCCGTGCCGCATATAGTTTATTTTACGTACGGACGAGCATTTGATAAATATATATATATCATGTTTTTACATTTGTACAGTAGGAATGTACAACTCCTTTAATAATAAACATTTTGGGATAATCTTTTTTAGTGAATAGTATATTGTGTATTTTTCAAATACCAAATGTCAGACAATTCTTGAAAAGAAATTTTTATATTTTAGTTTTTTATATATTTTCTTTGAAAATGAATAACTTATTCCTAAATTTATACTGTATTATAAAAATAGGAATGAACGTTTTAAAATATAAATGATGTATAGTTGTTTTCTCATAATAAATTTGATGTTCATAGTCAACTCTTAAGTTACCTTTTCTGCCCCCAATACAATGATTAACACCCTTTTTCTTTTTTAAAATCTTTGCTTCATTCTAGAAGAAACAATTGCCAAATTTGCATTCACTTTACCAGGTGGACTACCTAAAATTAAAGAAACAATTGCGTCCCGAGCAATTTTGATATTCTGAAAGGATCCTAAAATGTGAATTGAACTTTTTGTAATTAAGAGAATGAATTAGATTTACAATCAAATTATACTAGTGGTGCTCAATACCATATATATTTTTATAGTAATTTTAGCATTAAAAATTTAGGAAAATTGGAGATTAAAAGTTAGGATTAGAATCAAAGGAAGGGTTCTAGGACGTAGAACATTTTTGCTTAGAGTACCAAGTGCTAATAACTTGACTAGTTTTTGAGATATAGCAATTAGGGTGCTAAACACCACTGGTGTGATTTTATAAAATCGAAAAAATATATATATTATACTTAGTACATACGTATCAGCCAAAACGACTCTAGTTTTTGAAGCGTTTTCGATAGCAAACTTTACTTTTCCATTTTTACCAGCAATGCGACCTATAGCACGAGATAGGTGATCACCTTCCAATGTTTTAACTAAAATTTCGCGTAGCAGTTAGTACTCGACAGATAGTCTTGTCATGAATTAATTTTTCTTGAAATGTACCATCTTTAATATCAAAAGAATCAATATAAAGATCATCTACACGTAATATGGCAATCGCATCCTAATTTTATCAAACATTGTAAATGTAAAAATAGATGAACGACAAAATTATTCGGATTAATTAAAAGAATTTATAACACATTACGTCAACATTGAATCCTAACATGAAAGCTTTAACAAAATCTGCAGCCTTTTGAATTGATCCTAAATCCGTTGTATATTTAGATGTCTAGGATTATGGCAAGTATGTCAGTTTCTGTAAATAATACCTTTTACAATCTTATGAAAGATCAGAATTACCCTTATTTCGACGCGTTTTGCTTTAAGATTCATTCTAACTTGTAAATTCAAATGTTTTACAAGAGGTTCATAAATTTTTTTCCATTCTTTTAACAAAGGAGAAAAACGGTGCCGCGGAACGGGAATTTCACGAAATTGTGTAGAACCCTGATAAAATTATAATAATTATGATTGATACAATTCTCCGTTGAAGGTTTGTAATTAATCAAGTAAACTACGAAAATTACTCTTAATTCATGTCTTTTAGCAGGTCTAAATTTTGGTTTATTACATTCACTAATAGTATTATCAACCACCATAGCAGATTTTTCGGTTTCAACCTCATCGCTAGTAGTTTCTTTTGGAATAAAATCTGGATCAATTATCATTGACTCTTCTGAACTAGTTTGCATTTTGATCTATTCGATTTGCTATTCCGTTAAAAATTTTTTTTCTTGAATTTTATATCTAATTACATATCACGTGTAACCAGTATTGGGCATAAGTCAAGGCATTACCAGGTTTCCAATCGGAGGGCAAGATCGGGTGTAACGTGAAATCGCTTTTTTTTTTGATCTCCATCTTGTACTAACAATTTTGCAAAAATTTTTAGTATAGTGTCACCACTAACCCTACCAAAGACATTTTTTAAGTAGATAATCTTAGCAAATCAGAAACCTGGAGGAGATTAGTAAAAGGGTAATAGTCGAGGGAAATTAGTCATGGTGGCAAAAAGTCGCTAAAATGAGATTCTTATACATTCTGATTGAACGAATCAATAATTTTTTTTCAAACTTTGAGCGAAGACACCCCGACAACAGTTGCATAGAATCGGGATTTCGTCCAATCAGAATGTGACAGTTCAAGTAGAATTTCATTTTAGTGACACTTTTTGTGTAACGGTTAAATAAATTAGAGAACAAGCATTTAGAAAGTCATATGCTTGTTATCATTTTGAATTCCGTTCAAAAAGGAGGCAATTGGTTTGACGTTAAATTTTAAATTGATCAGTTGTCAGAATTTTAAATTGAATTCTATCAATATCTCAATTATACATTCGTAAAGACCAATGCATGAAAAATCGTCAAAGCAATTTATCCCGGAAGCCACGCATAGCTCTCTGGAATCTTTACATTTACCGTTTATCCAAAAAGAACAACCTAGCTATGAGACTCTTAGTACTGTACTTCAACACTTTGAATACTATTTTCTTGATAGACAAACCAAACCTATTTGGGAAACTAGTAATTCCCAAGAATATATTGAAGAAACTTCGTTCGCTAATAGGAGAGCAATCGATTGGTTGACCAGACTTATTGCTTCACCTCTAGAGTGGATACATGTTGAGTCACAAAGAGAAGAAGTAGTAGAACGAGCAGCGAAATGCATTGCAGCTGCTTGCGGTAAAGTTGGTAAGTCAAGACCAAAAAAAAAATTGTAAATACAACTTTGTTAATCATTTTTCTTGCATTGCGCATAAATAGCATCAGGTCCGATTATAAGGGATTGGAGTTTTCCGGCACCACCAGGAAACAACAAACCCATTTCATTAAAGATTCGTGATTCAACTTTACTCGATGACGATGTTGGTTTCAAGACATGGGGTGCCGCCTATCTATTAGCAAAGTAGAAACGCACATATATAATATTTCCCAAGCATTGGTTTCCTTTTTTTTGTTTATTCAATCATCTTACGTATGCATTATAATTTAATAGACGATGTACTTCTGGTCAAGCAATGCCCTTGGACAAAATTCAATCGACATTCATTCTCGAAATCGGAACAGGAACTGGATTGGTCGGGCTGACATGTGCGATGATCGGATGTCTAAATGTTTTACTCACTGATTACCATCTAAATGTTCTATCCAATGTCGCATATAATATTAATTTGAATCAATTACAAAATGTTGTTAAAGTGGAAAAACTTGATTGGAAAGATATAGCAAATGGGGTTGAACCGGAATTCCAACAAAAATTTGACATTATTGTAGGAGCAGATATTGTTTATGAAGTTGCACATGCCAATTGGATACCGAAAGTAATCAAAAAATTCATGAAAAAAGGCGGAACTTTTTATTTAATGATTCCGCTTCGTCCGACTCATACTTTAGAAGTAGAATTGTTTGAGCGATGTATGGAGGAACAAGGATTCATTTTACAATCTCGCCAGGATCAACAAGGATTGGACGACTTTAGTGGCATACAAAACTATCGATATTATGAGTTCAAAGATTAAAGCGTGCATGTTTATACCCTATTACATGAAAAGTTAATAAAAACATTACTAATCACAAATATTTTGATTGATAAAATAGGAATAATTATTTATGTTTGTAATTTTATTAAAAGTAATAAATATGGTAAGTACAAACTTTTCTATTAAATGGTATTCAAATCAGTATATGAAGGTGAGTTAATAAAAACTGAGCAAATTTTTTTAGCAAAATTTTAATTTCAAATAGAAATTAATAAAAATTTAATTTGATTTTCTGGATCAGGTGTAACGTGCAAATCAGTTTGTATAACAAAAATAAAGAAATTACCTTCGACATTTTTAGCAAAAAAATTTCTTGTTAAATTTTATATATATTTAACACATTGCTAAAATTCCAGGCCTCACCTTAACCCTAAAGTAAATGAAATAAATTTTTTTTGTTTTATTATTATTGGCTAATTACATATTGGTAATAATTACTACTAGTTAAATTTTTTATTTTTATATAAAAAAATATTAGAATTTTTTTTTTTAATATTAATGGTGAGGCCATGCCATATTAGATATTATTTAATTTGATTAATAAACAATTTAAAATAGTAAAATTATATATTAAAAAATTGGTGTTGTTTAATTTTTCAAAAGCTATTTTATCAATATATTATTTATCTAATATTATATAGAGTTAGTATTTGATTAGCTATAAATATATATTGTATTTTTAACAATTTGTCATCTTTATAATGTGGGTAAGTGATTTTTTGAGTAAATAATTTTTACCAATTATATTATAATTTAAAAAGGAGATATTATATTTCTTTAAAAATGTTTTTTTTATTATAAAATATTATTTGATTATATTGAGTTTTTTTTCACTTTGGCCATCTTGTCAATATCCTTTATTATATACATTTGTTAATAAACAAAAGTATATTCATGATCATAATATTTAGATTTGATATTTTGCAGTTACTTTTAAAAGTATTTACAAGTGACTAGTCACATTGGGCAAATGAATCTGTAAAAAATACATTATACTAAGTTTTAAAAAAACTTAACTATCTCAAAAGGTTTCATCAAACCACTGTCTTACAATAGAATATTACTAATCTGATGATATCTTCTTATAGAAAAGTAGAAAAAAGAAAAATAATACTAATATCAAAATTAATATTAAAAAAGAGAAAAAAAGAATGAAACAAAAAAAAGCGATTTCACGTTACACCCGATCTTGCCCTCCGATTGGAAACCTGGTAATGCCTTGACTTATGCCCAAT